TTTATATGGACAACTAAATTGGAACAATGGGTGCACTCAAAATACTAGGCGTACACTGAAAGATGTACTCCATTTGTAAAGCACCCTCTACCACACAATTCAGAGTGTAAACAAGAAAATAGGTGAATAGATAAAAATGTGGGGTAGAGAGAGCATTGGTATATAAATGGGATATACTTTAATTTGTGTACACTTAACATTACTCATATACACCCAACAAGAACATCAACCTCGCAATCCCACAAAATGGGGGCAAAGAAAGGTGTACATTGACTTTACTTCTACCCAAAAATAGAGCATCACATAGGCACATCGCAAGCAAACATAAACCAAGGGAAAACAAAAAGTAAAGAGTATAGAAAAGCACAAAGAGACAGAGAAAACTATTACCAATGCCCAATTACCTTAATTCTAGATCTTCAGAAGCTCCTATCAAAGGTTATATTCTGAGAAAGATCAAATTTTTAAATCGTATCCAATCACTTCTTTCCAGTTTTTTCTAAGGTTACCCCTATCCTAACCTCCACCCATACTTGTAGCCTCTTGCACCTCTATACTAGGGCAGGCTTTAATGCTCCGCTGCGAAACATGTCCAAAACACCTCAACCTAACTTCTCAGAGTTTAACCTCCACAAATGCCAGTCCCCCACGCCTCGTAAAACATTGTTAAGTTCCAAATCTTATCCACTTTGCATCGCGCACACATCTGCAGCATTCCCATCTTCGTCACTTGTAGTTGATGAACATGAGTTTTTTTCATTTCCTCTTTGTCTAGGTCTGACGATGGATCGGTAGAACTCCTCTTTCATCTTTGTGTGTGCTTCTTTTCTCTCAATTTTCGAAATTTACTTTACAACCTAAATCTTTTTAGTAGCTTTTATATTTATAAATACTGTATCTGTTCAATTTTATAATCTCAAATTCTTAAACGTATAATTGGAACTGGAACATTGAATGCGAAAGAGCTTGGGATAACCTCCTTACCACTATGCCAAGATATTTTCACATAAAATTTGACTTGTAAAATATCTAGTTCAACACTAACCCTTAGTACTTACAGTTATGTATAAAAACTTATACTCCCTCTTTCCTACTATATTTGGGCATGAATGTCGCAAGGACTAAGATAAATATAATTATACGGTTGATATTGATGTTAAAATAAAATAAAAATACATATGAATCATATAAAAATAACTAAATATGGTATGTGACAAAAAATTAGTGAGCAAAAAATTAAAATGGACAAAATAATGAGATGAAGGGAGTATAAACTTAACCAATTCTAAAATTATGATCTCAAGTGAATGTAATAAATTAAAGTTGAATTATATTACCTTCGTCCCAAAATACCAAAGTAAAAGATGCATTTTGTTTTACGAAAATTGATTGATTTTTTTATTTTATAATTAATGTCAAATTTAAAATAAAATCTGTATATTTAACTACTGCATACGTACCAATATGGACCATAATAATCATCGCAATTACTATTTTGTGATCCGTATAATTCTTTCATTTGTGTGTTTTTATTGGTTATTTAATGGAATAAAAAAAATTTATCACATTTTTTTATAAATTTTTTAAGTAGTTTTTGAAATTGAAATAAAAAAATTATACATGTTATTTATATGCTAATTGGTAAATCAAAAAATTTAAAAGAAATAAAATTTTACACATTATTCGAAATGAGATAATTACTTTGGTATGGAAGGAGTATTATTTCATCAAAATATGAATTAAAATATGTATGGAATAAAAATTATTTAGCCATGTCAATTATACTAGGTATCTTTTATTTTTTTATTTTTTTGAAAACAAGTATCTTTTATTTTAAGACAAAAAGAGTAAGTAAATACTCCCTTCGTCCCCTGTATTTGTCCACTTTCATTTTTACACACCATCCAATGCACTTCTTTAATCTATTTTATCTCGTAATTTGTATATTAAAAAATTATAGAAATTATATATTAATAATCGATATGTTAAGACAAATCAAACAAGATCACACATGACTATATTTAGGCTTACACATTGAGAGAATTTGATAAGTCAAAGTGCTTAGATTAACAGTTCCAAAAATTAAAACTGGACGAATACAAGGCAAGAGGGAGTACTTTTTTCTACATTCCTTTTATCATCATTATTATTAGTAGTAGTATTGAAAAAAATATTATAATTAATAGGATTAGTATTGAGAGGGATAGATGATGGATCAATCAATATCAATTTCTACCTTCTTTCATTTCCAAGAAAAGAAAAGGTGGCAAGAAAAAAAAATCAAAGGCTGGCTGGCTTTGCCCTGCCCTGCCCTGCCAACCCCACCCCCCGCCCCAGCGAATCTTACATCAACTCCTCTCACTTCTTTCCCT